CCCCTCCTCTTCCCCAGGCTAAACACCCCCAGCTCCCTCAGCCACTCCCCATCAGACTTGTGCTCCAGACCCCTCACCGGCTTCATTGCCCTTCTCTGGACATGCTCCAGCACCTCAATGTCCTTCTTGAACTGAGGAGCCCAAAACTGAACACAGTATTCGAGGTGTGGCCTCACCAGCGCTGAGTACAGGAAGGGGCACAATCACTTCCCTGCTCCTGCTGGCCACACTATTCCTGACACAGGCCAGGATGCCGCTGGCATTCTTGGCCACCTGGGCACGCTGCTGGCTCAAGTTTAGCTGGCTGTCAAGCAACACCCCCAGGTCTTTTCCCACAGGGTGGCTTTCCAGCCACTCTTCCCCAAGCCTGTAGCATTGCATGGGGTTGTGATCCAAGTGCAGGACCCGGCACTTGGCCTTGTTGAACCTCAAACAATTGGCCTTGGACCACCAATCCAGGCCATTCAGAACACTCTGCAGAGCCTTCAACACTCCAACCCAACTTGGTGTTGTGTCTACAAACTTACTGAGGGTGCACTTGATCTCAGTGTCCAGGTCATTGATAAAGATACTAAACAGAACTGGCCCCAATACTGAGCCCTGGGGGACACTGCTTTTGACCGGACATCAACTGGCTTTAACTCCATTCACCACAACTCTCTGGGCCCAGCCATCCAGAAAGCTTTTTACCCAGCAAAGTGTACACCTGTCTAAGCCATGAGCCTCCAGCTTCTCTAGGAGAGTGCTGTGGGAGACAGTGTCAAAGGCTTTGCTGAAGTCCAGGTAGACAACATCCATGGCCTTTCCTTCATCCACTAGGAGCTCATCGTTCAGCACATGGGGACAGTCAGCTCCTGAGCCTTTAAGATTTCCTTCTTGAAGAATGTCAAGCCTTCCTGGACAACTTTGCCCTTCAGGACTGCCTCCCGAGGGACTCCTACACAGGCCAAAGCCTGCCCTCCGGAAGCCCAAGCTAACAGGTCTGCTGATCCCCCTCCTTGCTTCTCCAAGAATCAAAAACTCTATCAGTTCATGATAGTCAGTCACTGTGCCCAGGACAGCCTCCAACCATCACATCACCCACCAGTCCTTCTCTGTTCCCAAACAACAGGTCCAGAGGGGCACCTTCCCTGCTTGTCTCACTCACCAGCTGTAGACTTGTGGATGTCCAGATGGCACAGCAGGTCATAAACTGCTTCCTCCTGCATTATGTAGGGTTTATTCTGCTCTCTGTCCCTGCCTTCCAGCTCAGGGGGTTGAATACCCTGGGGATAACTGGTCTGACTACTGAAGACTGAGGCAAAGAACGCATTAAGCACCTCAGCTTTTTTCTTGTCCTTTGTCACTAGGTTTCCCCCTGCATCCAGTAAAGGATGGAGATTCTCCTTAGCCCTCCTTTTGCTGCTAATGTATTTACAGAAACACTTTTTATTGTCTTTTATGGCAGTAGCCAGATTAAGTTCTAGCTGGGTTTTGGCCCTTCTAATTTTCTCCCTGCATAACCTCACGACATCCTTGTAGTCCTCCTGAGTTGCCTGCCCCTTCTTCCAAAGGTTCTACTTTTTTTTTTTCCTGAGTTCCAGACAAAGCTCTCTGTTCAGCCAGGCTGGTCTTCTTCCTCACTAGCTCATCGTTCAGCACATGGGGACAGTCAGCTCCTGAGCCTTTAAGATTTCCTTCTTGAAGAATGTCAAGCCTTCCTGGACAACTTTGCCCTTCAGGACTGCCTCCCGAGGGACTCCTACACAGGCCAAAGCCTGCCCTCCGGAAGCCCAAGCTAACAGGTCTGCTGATCCCCCTCCTTGCTTCTCC